AATAAACCTGCCGCCGGTGCACAAGCTAAGGAAGAAGCCAGCAAAGGTGGAACCTTGTCCTTGTGTTTCTCCCACAGAGGCCCCCGCTAGAGGGGGAACCATGGGATGAGGTGGACACCCAGGTAACGCATTGGGCACTGCAGGAGGGAGTGAGGCCGAGGTTCCGTGTGCCGTGCACCTATGCCGTGGGGTGGGGGCTGGGGGCTAAATGTCCTTTAAAAGTTTGCAATTTCCAGACCACGTGCCATCCATTTGGTAGCGGAAAGGGATGTCCACCCTCTCAGATAAGGAAGCTAAAGCTCAGAGGGAGGTTTCTGCCCACATTCACATTGCAATTTAGTGACCCAGGAAGAAAGAGGAAGCTGGTGGGGACCAGGGTTGCCACGGCATTGCGTGGGGAAAGCGACAGCCTTGCTCTTTCGCAGGTTGGGAAACTGAGGCACACGTGGCAATGGCTGCTGGGCTTTGAGCACTGTGTGCAGGCACATCCAAGAACGCCTGCAGCCCACAGCACTCCCCTGAGCTGCACGGAGGGGCCGCCGCCTGACGGAGGAAGCCCGAGGCTCTGGGGGGGCGGGGGGGGGGGGTAGGGGGAGGACTGCTCACGGCAGTGACAGGCTGGGGACAAACCAGGACTCGGACCCAGATCTTCTGGCTCCTTGGCCTCCTCTCCCCCCTCCCCCCACCAGGTCTCCTGCTCCAGAGGAGGCAGACACCCATGAAATGGGCTCAGAGACTTAGAAACAAACTCTTTCCTCAACGGGACTGTTGTGCACAGAAGTCTAAAGCGCACAGTGAAATGTCCTTTGAGTCCAGCCTCTTCGTCGTCAGTCCTGGAGAAATTAGCCCCAGGAAACACTTCAAAAGAAATTGTCAAAGCTTCCTACCTAAGATTTTTCTGGCAGGGTTAGCTACGTATAGTAACAAAAATTAGAAACAGCCCAAATGTCCAACAAGAAGGAAATAGTGCAGAACCGCGAGGCTGAATTGTGGAAGTTTACAAAGCAGTTAAAAGCCACCGTGAAGGCTACGTGTGGGAAAAGCCATCATAGAAAGAAAAAAGCACATGAGACCATTTTTATACCAGCAACTCTACAAAGATATGGGCACACTTGTTAAAAATGATGGAATGGAACATGAAGAAGTGAAAGTGAAAAGTTATTAGGCTAGCTTGGTAAGATTATGGATCTTAAAAAGTTTATAATTTCCTCTAATAAATTCTGTGGTATTTTTGTTAAAATTCCTCAAATTAAGACAGGGAAAAAATACCATAGCTACATGGAACATTTACTTAGTAACACAGACCGAACTGAATGTGGTGCTCGGCTATCGTGTTGTTGTTGTTTTTCTTTCCATATTTTGAGGCAATTCAGCAATTGGATAAAATTGAACAATGTGATTTATACTATAATCCAAAGCTCTTATTTTCTCCTTGGGTCCTCTCATTAGCTCGTTAGTTCATTAGTTAACAACCTCGACGGCGGTGGTCTCTGTACTTGCGGCTTTGCCCTCGTGTTAAAGCCAAGTCAGAAAAATGAACGTCTTTCTTCATTTATTTGTTTCTTCATTTATTTGTTTATTTTTGAGATATATTAGTTGAATCGTATGAAATTACGATTTTCGTAAGTCCAAAATAAATAAATATCGGAAATTTCATCTGATCAAAGGAGAACATTTTAACATTAAGGTAGGATTTTACCTTAAACCATCCTTACAACTATTGCGAATCATTCTATTTACTCAAAGCGCTGACTCCTCCACCAGTTTAATTTCTCTTTAAAAACCACAAGCTTTGATATTACATTTTCTAGAGGTTAGATCCCAACAGCGCCACTCCAGTACCCCCCAAATAGACCATTAAGTTAATCTAATCACACAGAACCCCCAGATTTCCTTCCTCCCCCAGCTTTAACCCACCCCACAGACATCTAGGCTCCGACTCTGCTCAGGCGCCGAGCTACGGGCTGGGACACATGGAGGAGGGGGGGAGGTGTTGCTTCCCTCGGGAACACACCCTGGGGCTCAAGGCAGAAGAGATGGCCGTGGCCGTGGCCGTGGCCGTGGCCATGCAGGGACTTGGTGACCATTTTGTTTCAACTAACAAGTCAGATGGCCGGCTCGGTCCTTTCTTCACCAAACTGACTGACTGCTTGCTCAGACAGACTGTCTGCCCCGTAGTGTTGGTAAGAACCAGCCGGGGCCCACGCCGAGAAGTGCATTATGAACTCTCCCTGCTATTCGTCCAGCCCAGCGCTGGCCCACAGCGTGCGTCTGGACAAGCTCCCGCAAGCCAGCTCCCGAGTGCCTGAGCCTTCCCGAGAAACGGAGGCGCAACGCCTGGGGACTCTTATAAGTAAAAATGAACATCCAATAAAAATTAAATCTACTTTTTAAAGACAGAGATGAAAAGGATGTTAAAATAAATACAACACTCAACAGGCGCTTTCCAGGACTGCTTCTGGGGGGCAGAGGGGGGATCGAGGCTGCAGAGGAGGTCTGCGGGCCAGCAAGCCTGAGAATTAGGCCAAGGCAGGAAATGAAGCGGCTCACGGGATGAGCAGAGCCAGGCGATGGAGGTTGAATAAACCACTGGCGAAAATGTTGTGGGTGAAAAACTTGTCCGGGCATCGCTTACAAGCGCCCCTCAAGTCCAGCTCCAAGCAGCTAAGGCAGAGATCTGCTCCGCAAGACGCTGCACCTCAACACCAGGCCCTCACCCGCACCCACACCCGTACCCGTACCCGCACCCGCACTGCCATGGATGCAAAGTCTGCGTCCCGCCCTGACCAACGGTGGCCAGGGGGCCTTGTCGCGCACACCCTCCCCTAGCTACGCGGGTGTGTCTTTTCTGGGCTTGTTTTCACTTTGGGGGAATATCCCTACAGAATAAGCGTCTTAAGAAATTAAAGTGGGAAGTCATCCTGAGACCCGCCAAAGCTTTGCCCGGGTTCCGAGTTGGGCCTGGCTGGGCCGCACGCCCTGTGCTGGCGTGAGCGCGCTCAGAAACCCAAGGGAGATGGACAAATGACCGGGGCTGCTTCACAACACAGCCGAGAGCACACCAAATCCCGACCGTGGGCTTCCGTTTCCTGTTCCTGGTGCCCAGAACAAGGAAACAGCAAGTGGTGGTAATAGTGATAATTGGCTATCTATTATGTCTCAGGCCCACTAGTCACTTCTCATGTCACAGCTCTGCAATGAAGGTTCTACTCACTCTACAGGGGAGAAAACTGAGGCCCAGAGAGACTAAGTAACTTGCTTAAGGTTGCACAGCCACTGTGATTGGCCTGACCCTGCACCACAACCAGCTGCTTCCCTGCAAGCTGAGCCGACCAGGAGCCTGAGCGCCTATTTCCTGAGGCTTGTGCCATAGCCGCACGGCCTGAGCCGAGGGCCCTGTGGGCCAATGTGCGCGCCTGCCATCAGGCCGGTGACCTCAGGCTTTGCCAGCCTCAGACCCCGGTGGTGGGGCGGCCGTGGGGACTTCACCAGGAAGACCTCATGGACAGACGGGTCATTACTGCTTTGATCCAGATGATCTGGGTCCCGGGGAAATGCAAATGGAAAGGTCCTGGTGAAAGTGGGTGTTTTAAGGGGGTCGAGGGAGGAACTTCACTGAGCAGAAAAGAGAGACCTGAGGTCGGGTTCCGCCAGGAGCCTGCCCTCGGGGCGTCGCAGGGGCTGTGAAAGCCTGGAGTCTCCGTCCCTCCTGCAGGGGCCTCGGGCTCCGTGATGCACTTTGTCAGGAGCCCGTGTGCGGAGCTGAAGTCCCCCGTCCCCCTTCTCCATCGAGTGCGCGGAGAGAAGGTGGGGAGGTGCCTGGGCCCCCGCTCGGCGGGTGTGGAGGGGGCCGTGGCCCCATCTTGTCTGCCGGGCGAGGCTTTGTTTTCTGCTCGTGGCGCCACCAGCGCCCTGGCTGTTCTTGTCCCTTCTACGCCCCCTTTGCCCCGACCTCCCCGTGGCCTGAGAGGAAAGCCCAGCGGTGACGAACCCCCCAGCAGTGCTGGGTTCCGGGCTGCGTGGCACCTGGGCCCGCGGTCCACGGCTGCTCGGGGCGCCCTGGGGTGCCCTCCCCCGCAGCTCCATGTGACTCATGCCCACCCAGGCCTTTCTGAGAAGGGCTGCGATCTCCCAGAAAACCCGCCATGCTCAGCCCTTGAAACCCCGGGCAGGGCCGGAAGTGCCAGGCCTCCCTGCCTCCACCCCGCGCCACCCAGGCTGCGGCAAGGAGGGGCATTTGGGACAACCTTCCCTGTCCCCTCGGTGTAAACACAGCTGGTCCCGTTCCTGGTAAAAGTGCACGGAGCCCGGGGACACGGGGACACGGGGACACGGGGACACGGGGAGGTGGAGGGCCTAGAAAGGCCTCGCTGCGTGCAGGGGGGTGGGGGGGGCAAGGGTGTTTGTCACTCGTGGTGGCTGCGCATGTCACCTCCTCCCTGTCCCTGTGGCCTGCCAGCGGCCGGGCCTTCCGGGCGCAGATGCAGAGCGGCCTGCGCGGAGTGAGCCCTGAGCCTCGGGTGGGTGTGTCACGGGGCACTCGGGCCGCGGGGTGCAGAGCTGAGCCCCACGGAAGGCCAGTCCCTCCTCCGTGGACCCCAGTTAGTCCCCGGACCATCGAGGTGTCTCACGTGAGCCAGCCCACAGCGTCCCTGCCTCCGGCGACGGACATGCTCTCTGTTTGGAGAAGGAAGCAGGACAGGGACGGGGACTGAACCAGCAAGGGGTCAACGAAGACGCAGGAACTAGAACCACGTCGCAGCGAGAAGCCTGGCCTGGCCGGTGCTTCCCGATCCCACCAGCTTCTGTTCGACGCTGGGCCTGCGCCCGGGCTCCCTGCTTCCTTCCGCCGGTCCAGTCCCCCGCCGTGTCCCCCCCACCTCCGCTCCACTGCCCATTGCTTTCGGAAGGACAGGGTTTGGAGGAGACGCCGGGTCCTCGCCAGCCCCTGTGGCCCCCCACACACAGTCACAAAGACTTTCTCGATGTGTCTGCCTTACCTGTCACTGGGAACTGGGCCTGCAGGACGGCCGCGATGACAAGCGCCTCCCACTTCATGCTGTCCGTCCGTCCGTCAGTCCGGGATGTGCTGGGACGCCGTGCGGGGCGAGTGACAAAGGGAGTGTGTGCGGCGGCTGGGGCGGCCTCCTCAGGAAGTGGAGGACAAGGCCTCTGAGAGGCAGGCACCCGCCAACAGCAGGCTCACACCCCCTCGGGTCACAGGCAGGAAGCTCTGGAGGTTTGAGGGTTTGGGGTGTGTGTGTGCCTGCCTGCCTGAGTTTTGCTCTTTCTCTCACTTAACCATTGTTTCATTTTCCTTCCCCTGCCCCCTAACTTTGGTCTCATTTTTATCTAATTCCTACCTTAATTGGTGACATCGGTCAGATGCATGTAGGAACACGCCGTGTCCCTAGACTTGATGTTATGGTGGTGGGTGAGACGAGGGCTCTGCTTCAGAGTCAGGCTGAATAGAGAGACAGACTACTTGTGCGTTCACAGCGTCTGCTACCTGCTTGCTGTGTGGCTTTGAGTAAGTCACTCAACATCTCTGGGCTTTGGCGTCCTTATCTATAAAGGAAACTGATGGAGTAGGTCTGAGCTTGCAGTTCTGAACTTGGCCTGAATTTGGAGCTTTCATAGATGATGATGGGAGTGTAAAATGGCACAGCCATCTGGGAGAACAGTTTGGCGGGTTCTTAAAAAGTTAAACATACATTATCCGTATGATCCAGCCACCCGCTCCTCAGTATCTACCCAAGACAAAAAGAAATATATGCCCATAGGAAGACTTTACATAAATAGTCACAGCAGCCGTTTGGCTCAGTGGATAGAGTGTCAGCCTGTGGACTGAAGGGTCCTGGGCTCGATTCTGGTCAAGGGCACATGCCCAGGTGCAGGCTTGATCCCCAGTAGGGGGCGTGCAGGAGGCAGCTGATCAATGATTCTCTCTCATCATTGATGTTTCTATCTCTCTCTCCCTCTCCCTCCCTCTCTGAAATCAATCTATATGTATAAAAGCCGAAGCAACCATTCGACTGGTAGCAATGATGAGTACTGACCACCAGGGGCAGATGCTCAACACACAGGCATGGAAACATGGAACAGACTGATGAATCTCAGAGGGAAGGGGAAGGGGGGAGGGCGGGAAGAGATTAACCAAAGACCTTATATGCATACTAGAGGCCCAGTGCATGGATTCATGCACCGTCCTGGCCTGAGGGGATCGGGCCGAATCTGTGCACAGGGCCTCTAGTAAAAATATATTTTTAAAAAAGAGTCACAGCAGTTCTATTTGTAAAAGCCCCAAACTGGAAACCACCAAAATATTAGTCAGCACATGGATGGATAAACAGGCTATGGTGTTTACATTTTTGAGAAAATTCAACCTATAGGTTACCAATTGCTATTTGAAGCAAAGGAAAGGAAATCAACTAGTATTCATTGGGTTTTTATTGTTTTATATTTTTTAAATAGTTTTAAAATTGATTTTTAGAGAGAGAGGAAGGGAGAGGGAGAGAGAAACATTGATGTGAGAAGGAAACATCGATCGGCTGCCTCCAGGCCTGTGCCCGACTGGGAATTGAACCAGCAATCCCTTTGGTGCACGAGATGATGCCCAACCAACTGAGCCACACCAGCCAGGGCTTTATGGGGTTTTTAGAGTCCAAAGTTACCAGTAAACTGAAGTCAATGCCACTCTTACCTGTCGGATCTGGGCACTTTCACACCTGCTTGTAGGACTAAGTGGTAGAAATTCTCAGGAGCAGTTTACAGCGTGTGCCAACTGCTTTCTCCCGTGGCTGGGAATCTCGCTAAGGAAATAAACATGAATGTAGAATACCATCCTATATAATAAAGAGGTAATATGCAAATCGACCCTCGTACAAGATGGCCACCCACATGTTGTCAAAAGATGGCCACCACAAGATGGCCAGCAGGGGAGGGCAGTTGTGGGCGATCAGGCCAGCAGGGGAGAGCAGTTGGGCGTGACCGGGCCTAAACCAGCAGTCGGACATCCCCTGAGGGGTCCCAAATTGGAGATGATGCAGGCTGAGGGACACCCCTCCTCAGAGCACAAATTTCATGCACCTGGCCTCTAATTGATGTATAAATTGGTCTGTCTCTCCAACAGGGAAAAATCAGAAGTGACTTATATGTTCCCACACCGGGGAGTGGTGACAGCACTGAGCTCAGCCTGGACATATCCCTCCCATTGACGGAGCTTCTCTGATTCCCCCAGTCCCTGTGGTTCTGACGGGGACTGAGCTGAACCCCAAGCTGGGGAAGGATCCAGGACCCGGGCTGCGTCAGTGAGGGCACCCCACTCCCAGCCACAGTGACCATTCAGGAATGGCTCCCTCCCAGGCTGGGAAGGATGCCGCCGCTTCGCTCTACGATTGCTGACTGCAAGTGAAACCAACTCGGCGGGAAGGGGACCAGGGCATGAAGGCGAGCTTTGAAGGAATATGTAAGGTCAGTGAATTAAAGGGCTCTGACTAGGGCTTCTGTCACTAGCAACAGGGGCTAATGCAGGCCATTGTTGATCTGATGAAGTATTCTGCAGCCACCAAGCCATCCTTACGGACTCTAGTAACATAAGCTTATGGCTAAGTGAAAGAAGTGAGATACACGATCAATGATCTTATTATTCAATGTTATAGTTGGGCATTTATTGGAAGCAAAGATTGGAAGAAAACACACAAAAATGTTAGCAGCTATGCGGGCTGGTGAGGTGGTCATGTTTTAAACTTTTTAAATTTTCCATATTTTTCACACATCTTACAATAAATACTAAGGGAAAACTAAGAAAAAGATGAAGTTTTACTGGTTGATTTGTTCGTCCCTCCATTCTGCCTTCTCAGATAAAAATGTACAGAGCCCCTGGCTGTGAAGTGATGGTTTGGAATTTCCCTAAGAAATACTGACACACCAGCTTGACACAGAGCATAGTGGTTTCTGTTCTCAGTGTAAAGCGGAAAGCAAGCCCGTCGCAGGGCAGCGTCCCCTCCTCCGTCACTGGGTGCTCCGTCGCTGGGTGCTCCGTCGCTGGGTCCTCCGTCACTGGGTGCTCCGTCGCTGGGTCCTCTGTCTGGGTGTCACTGAGGGCGCTGGGCCCGCCCCCTTTCACAGGGAGTTTCTCGTCTTCATTGGCTGTTAGCAGGATCCAAGGCGCTCCGGCTCCTCGGTCACTCCCTCTTTCTACTTTTCATTTTCTCTTTTCTTGATCAGAACCGGCCTTGCCCTCTGGGCCAGCGGCTGTCCCCGTCCCAGACACTCATGCCCTTGCAGGTTGAGGCCAGGACTCTGTCCCTCTTCTGCAGGACGTGGGGTGCAGGGGAACCCGAAGCACGTGGCATGGAGGGAGGGAGCATGAGACCGGGTGTCGTCTCCTGTCCCTTCAGAGCTGCCTTTGCCCCAGTCATCACCACCCACAGTATCACTCAGCTCAGTGGTGAGAAGCAACTGACGCCTACACAAAAAGTGGTCTGCAGTGCCCCCTGGTGGTCAATAACAGGAACACATTCTGCCCATTCAACCTGTACCCCCTGCTGGGACCCGGTGGTTGTCTTTCCTGTGATAACAGGTATGTTTTTACCTGGCGCCAAGTGGTGAAGACAAAACTCCCACTCAATAGGTAGAAGGAAAAAACCAGATAGGTGCCCTCAAACTAATTCCACCACAAGCACGTCAGCACCGGGGCCCTGGGGGCAGAACGTTGACCAAGGCTGCATTCTGGCCTCGCCCCCAATTCTAGGACACCATGAGCTGTGTATCAGAGGGAACGGGCCGAAGGATTCCCTTGAAGCATTGAAGCAGGGTTTGACTCGACAGCACGCTGACATAAAGACACGAAGGGTCGCCAGTGGCCAGTGAGAGTAAGGAATATGAGCATCTTAAGAAAATGAATCCAACTCATGTCATTAAAATAATGCTTTTAATTATTGATGCTTTGAATAAGAAACCCGTTTTACCAAGGTTAATGTAAATCATTTCTCTTTTTCTATTTTTAATCATTTTTCTTCACCAGAGGCTGTTGGCTGGATTTCGGGTGAGTTCATTTGTTGTCTTCAAACATAATGACGCACATCCGCTCCTTTCTCTGAGCCACTGAGGGCTCAGCGGTGATGCCTGGCACGCCTCGATGAGGGATCTCATCTCGTCTTCTGAAACCATGTATATAAGTAAAAGTATAAATTTAAATGTCTAAAATTTAGCAACCTCATTTCCAAGAAATTCAGTAGCAGTTCTACTTGATGCTGTAACCAGGCTGATCTCCGGGACCTTTCCCACGGGGGACCCCGAAGCCCTCGGGTCTGTATGAAACATCCTAAGAACGTCACCGGGTGGTTAAATCCGCCAAATGCTGCTTCACCTAAACAGAAGGAGAGAGGACGAAGGATTATTTCATTAAATGAGCGGACATCTTACAAGTTAATTCATTCTAGGGAAAGACTAGAGACACTTCTAACAGTTTAAGATTCTGAGCTAATTTCCGCCGCTCCAGTGTGGCGAGCAGCGCCTGAGACTGGAGTTCTGTATCCAGGTGCCCAGGAATCTTCACGCCAGCCAGCACCCTCTTGTGCAAGGCTGCTGCGGCCACGTGCACGGACATAGCGCCGTTCGGGCTGTGTGGTTCTCTACTCAGAATATCTGAAGGTTTAAAAGACAGACACAGTTGAGGACAAAAGGGTCCTGAACATTAGGGCAGAGGAGCGTTAACCAGCCGGTGCCGGATGGTGTTGAGTCCAGCTGGGACCCTTTTCCTGTTGTGGCTGGGACCACGGCTATCAGGAACTCCATCTCCTGGCAGGGGAGGCCGGGCAAGTTAGCAACCCGTGACCTCTCCTTACCTGTCCTTACGAGGGCCAGGTGGGCACAGCGAGGAGATGGTACAAGGCCTGGTGCTCAGACTGAACCATGAGCGGAGGCAACTGAGGAAACTGCTTATCGGGGGCGTCAGCAAGCACCTCTGTGAACATTAAACCTTCATTCCATGTGCAGATGTGCCCATGGCTTCTGCCCCAGCAGCCCAGCGAGGCAGACCGACGTCCGTGAGGCCCCTCACTGCCCAACCCGGGCGTCTGTGCTGAGCCATCTCAAAAGAC